GCTTTCCTGTTTTGGACTAGCGCCTGGGCCAAAATCCCAACAGATCTAATCTTAGTAAAATATTATTTTAATAAAGTATTTAGATTTAAGAAACTAGGCGAACCGAAGATCTTACTTAATTATAATATTCTATATAATTATAAAGTAAATAATATCTTGCTTAGACAGTTTATTTATATAGAAGAATATCTTATTATTATAAATATATAATCCTGCTTAGATGTTACTGTTCTCATAATACTTATTTATATAAAGACAGATTATATTATAATATTAACTGAAAAAGTTAATATTAATAAATATTAAAGTCTTATAAACAGATTAAACTAATTAATTATTAAAACCAGATCTAATCTATATTATATTATATTCTGCCTGTAAAGATATATATATATTTTAATTATAATAGATATAAAAGCCTTGAAGTATATATATAAATATTTATAGAATATTACTTTCTATAGAATTATTCTAGTAGTTGATTATACTAAAGAGATTAAAATTTATATAGATACTGCTTATACTGATTACAAAAATAGTAAATTAATGAAAAAATATATTATCTTTTATACAGGCAGATTTATTATCTGGTTATTAAATAAATAAAATATTATTATATTTTTTTCTACTGTTATAGAATACTGCGTATACAATACTGCTACTAAAGATATTTTATATATTAAGAAATTAGTATAGATATTTAATCTTAAAATATTAAATAATAGCAAAATATTCCTGTTCAGCGATGCTGTTAATTTACTATGGATTCTTAACTATAATATATATATATAATTTACTAGATAGCTAGATAACTGTTATCTATTTATAGTAGATCTAATTAAAATAGATATTATATTAATTTAATATATTATAGATACTAGCAACTTTATAGATAGTCTTACTAAACCACTGGATTAGGAAAAGTTCTGTGATTTCTAGATTTTACTAGAAATGATTTTATTAATTATCTCCCTTGCAGTATCCAGAGAATGATACTTAATATATAAAAGATTATTTATTTAGAAAATATTTATAATTTTATTTAATATCTTCTTACATACTTCTTTGCCTAGAAGGCCGTGTTGAGATATTCATGTAGGCTAGTTATATACTGTGCTTAGATTACTTATAAAGTATCTCTTTATATTGCTTTGTTTTGTTCTCTTAGATAGCTCAATTCAACTTACTCTTTTGCTTCCGTTCGTTCATTTCATTATTGCTTTTGTTGCTGCTTCTGTAGAGCGCTCCTCAAGATACTATATCATATGCCCCCGAGTAATGGGCCAACCAAGGTACGGCTGCTAGCGGATTGCCCTGCACATGTTTAGTATTTCCCGCTATGACCCCTACACTACTAAGAAATGATACAAGTTCCCGGTGTTCTACTACGAATTAGGTCTAGCATCTTATCAAGAAGTTCACCCAGAAGCACACCACCGTTAGACTGTTACCAGCCAGCGTATTCAATCTATCAATGTCTCCGTCGTTCATTTTTTGAAGGAAGGGAAAGAAAAAAAAATAAAACAATAGTCTGATTGATTGTCACAAACACTGTAAATAATATAACAACATCCGCGACCGTCCCATTCAGGCCTTTGTGACCGCTACGCAGAATGAACGCCGGCTCGAGCGCGACATATAGCTTGCTAAACTAGTTACTGCGAAGATGTGTTTCATCAAAATAGTGGAACCTTTGCATGCGATTAACCACAGATGAGGTGGTTTGGGTGTAAAATTACTTACATTATTTTGGCCGTACGCCTTGGTTGGTGCTGTGATAGGCTTGCAGTCATTTTGTGCTTTGCGCAAGCAAGTGCGATGTTGCTCGGTTTACTGGAGACTTCGTGTGGGACAGCCAAACTGAGACAAGCTGGCAGAGGAGGAAGAAGTAAATCGGAATGTAGTATCCTAGATTGACCTCGAGGCAGTTTAGCATAGAGAGAAGGACAGATGTCGTCCTCCTATGTCTTTAGGACATTTGCCCATCAACTAGCTGCCTTCGGGCGGTTATCAACCCTAGCACTGGTATTACCGAAGATCCGATCTTGCACCCACGATTTGGACTTTTGGCCCGAAAAAAACTGATGTAGCCGTTGCGCGCGATCCGTCCGCAGATGATTTGAGTTAGATTGTCCCGATTCAAGCTCCACACACTGACAGCCGAGATAGATAGGCTAAAGAGTGCCTGCAGGCTCTAAGACCCTCCACCAATCCTCGTCTGTCACACTGACACATCCCCCACACCCGTAAACACGAATAACAGTAGAATCGGTTTTAAGGTAGAGTTCACTATGCGTCCGCTCAGTCTCAAGTGTATTTTAGCGGAGGGATCCGCGCCTTCCGTAGGGCTTACCACATAATCAATCATGGATGCGTCCTTCCCAAATCCTATGACCCTCTCCCAGCTTGGTGAGGGGAAACCTGAGGTACATCAGAGCAAGTGCAAAGAAATCTCGGACCCAGATTACACAGCAGACATCAACGAAGGACAATTCACTGCGTCTGTAGGAGGTTTACATCGTTGGCTGGGAAATCGTCAGATCCAGCTCGTTGCCATTGGCGGTTTCCTCTGAAGCGGTCTTTTTATTGCCATAGGAACTGACCTCACCAGCGGCGGGCCAGCAAGCCTGCTCCTCGCTTTCATCATATAGTCCATCATAGTCGGCATGCTGAACAATCGCCTGGCTGAAATGACTACCTACACGCCGGTCAGCGGTGGCTTTATCGGACTCGCAGGCTACTGGGTGGTAGAGGCCTTGGGCTCATGGCGGGATGGAATTTCTTCATCTACAAGGCTTCAACTGTTCACTTCGAGATATGTTCGGTTAATCTACTGCTGGAGTACTGGCGTCACCCCACTCCCGTCATCGCCGTATGTTTGATCTGCATTACAACCTTTGCATAGGTCTTTCGCTTGGAGCAAACCTTCCTCTGACTTTACCATCGCAACATCAGCTGATAAGGATCCTATGGTTTAGATGCATTGACCTCCTCACAGTTGGTGTCTACGGGAAGCCGAGTTGTAGCTGAGTGGAGGCAAAGTGTTATTGATCTTTATCTTATTCGCATTTACATTGGTGACCGTGATCGGCGGTAACCCAAAAGAAGACGCATACGGCTTCCGCTACTGGCAAAGTCCCGGAAATTTTGCTCCTTATAATACCGGGGGGAAGCTCGGCCACATGGAAGGGTTTCTCGGTGCGCTATGGATAGCTGCCTTTGAGTTGTGGGCTCAGAATATATCTCGACGGTTTCCGCCGAGGCCAGACACCCAAGAACCTACTTTAAAAATGGCCTTTGAGATTGTGTATTGGCGCTTCGGTGTCTTTTCCAGTGGAGTTGCTATATGCGTCGGTGTGATTCTAGCCTGTAATGATGCTACTCTCGTCCGGCCTATTAAAAGTGGAGAGTCATCTTCTGCCACGTCGCCTCATGTGATTGCAATGCAGGTTCTTAACATCATCATTCTTCCCGACCTTAGTTGCCAGTGCTCATATGGTGACATCAGTATGTTTTGCTGGAAATACATATACATATGCGTATGTCGTAACTCACACAATTGCACGGTTTAGCCATTGGGGGCAGAGCACGAATTTTCGCAAAAGCTGACCGAAGGGGTGTGCCAAATTATAGTCTCGTGGCAGATATAGCCTTTGCATGCCTTTCATTGCTACGGCTTAAGGAAGTTCGATGCAAGTGCTCGGGTGGCTGATCGGTGTGACGACAGCCAACATTCTTATCGAATATTTTATCACTACTGTCACATATGTCTGCTTCTAGCATCTTACTTCTCCGCCAACAAGACACCTCATCATCAGCTTAGAACCGCAAGATCTCACACAGGCGCTCACACGTCTCAGCTGGGGTGGGGTGGGGGGGAATGGCGGCTTCTGGCTTCATTGGGCCCTGCGGCTTTCCCGAAGAATTGTAGCTGTATATCCGGGGCTTTCCGGGGAGGAACAAAAGTACCGGCGCACAAGATGTGGCTAATAGTTAACGGAAGTGATGAACAGGAATATCTGCCCGTTTCTCTATCCAGACTAGACTACAACACGTTCTTGTCCGATTAGCACAGACGAGCAACGCAGAGATGTGCGCTACTGAAGAAAGGATCAAAGTCAGCCGAGCCGTTGTTCCCGAGTTCCCGCCCTACGAGCATTGTGGTACTTATATTGTATTAGAACTATCAGATCAATAAGTAGACAGATAAACATATGAATAAGAGCAAGTTAGACTCAAGTCACTTCAGAGCAGTAATATATACAGTAGCACTAAATTATAATCTATATAATCATTTGATGCCAGCTGGTAATGTAGTATAAATATTTACCTAGCACAGATCTATTGGTAAGACTATCAAGTAATAGTAGTTACAGCAGCCTGACAGCCCAATATGAACATAAATAAAATCAACACGTATCAAATAAATTATAAAAGATTTCAGGTGAGTAGTTATTGGTTCCCTCATGCGATATATTTCCCCAAGTTCGTCCATTAGCCAGATAGGGTCAACTCTTCGAAAACAATAACAATAATTCAGCCCGCAACTGTATTTCTATGGCACAATTCAAGTCTTGACACAACTCCTTTCTCTTCATAGGAAGGATACTCACCAGGACCCTGTCACCAGGCCTAGCACTTTGGAGATGGGGAGGAGCAATATAAACCCAGCACAGCAGTGATACCATCAAATGTTGAAAGCCAATTATTCATGACAGCACTACTTAGCCACTTGGGCAGATCATAACCCAGAAGCAGAATAAAACCCTAATGATTCCGGTATGCTACTATCTGGACCCCTAGGAGCTAATCCCCATCCATCCTTCAATATATCTATGTATCAATCCCATAAACCCCCAAATCCTCCTCCATTCCCACCAAAGCAAATACCGCACTCTCCCTCCCCCCAAACACCCTCAACTTCCTCACCCCCCTGAACTCCAGCCCACTCTTCTCCAACACCCTCCGACTACGCATATTGTCGGGCGCACAAAACCCAAACACCCCCTGCACGTTCCACTCGCCTTGCACGTACGAAATGGCCCCCTTCGCTGCCTCAGTCGCGTATCCTCGCCCTTGGTGCTCTGGAAGAATAGCGAATCCAACATCTGGTGCAGAGTAGCAGTTTGGTGGATCGCCTTGCATGAGGCTTATGGTGCCAATCGGGAGGGTGTTTTGATGAGGTGAGTTGGAGGTGGGCCTGAGGTTGACGAGGAGGAGGCCGAATCCTTTGCGGGTGTATTGGGGAATGATCCGGGTCTGAATGAAGGTCTGGGCGGAATGGCTGTCTGTGATGGAGGTTTTGCCGTTGCTGGCGATGAAGTCGGGGGTGTTCCAGAGGTGAGCGAGGAAGGCGCTGTGGGATGGGCTGGTCGGGTCGAAGTAGGTGATGTTAAGGCGGGCGGTGGAGATGGAGAAGTTGGTTGGCGGGTTGGATGTGCTGGTCATCATGGCGGTAATTGCGATGGTCCAGTTTGTATAGCAAATGGCCGAGGTGAGGTTACATATATACAGGACCCTTCTAGACTCGTGGTATTATCAGCAGTAGGTTGTTAAAGATCCCCAGATTAATTAGGATTTGATTTTCAAAGGATACTAAGAAGGATGCTGAATTGATTAGTAGACGAGTCCAATCAGGATGGCAAGTTGCACGGTTAGCAGCGGACCTGGAGTAACCCGTTCTTATCATATGATAAGGTCTGACGATTCCCGCGGATAAGCCAGATGTCGGTGGAATCTAGAAAATCAACCAATGCCCTTATTGTGGTCTGCGAATGCTTACACATAATTCGAAGTAATCGAATCCAAACAGCCGAATCCCCCGCTCAATGATATGAAATTCTCCCAGAGCCGTCTTCAGCACCAATCCCACCTCACTAATCATTAAGAAAATCTGGTTTACCCAAGCGGAAGCGGCAGTCCGGGTTGTTGGCCCCAAAGGCTGTAGAACAGAAGACCAGATGAGAGTGCTGCCAAGCCTGCGACCATAGCCAAGGCAAGGGAGCCCTCTATGCTTCAAGGATATTCTCATGGGTCCGTACTACCACATACTGCTTTCCCGATTTTGTCACTTCCACAGTATGTTGATGACGGTACGGTGCTTTGAAACACTACTAATCTCACCCCCACCTCCCCCGGGCGTGGGATTTCGGATTCGGATTTCCTCATACACCGTCTCAGTCTACCTGAGGATGTTTCCCGGAACACTATGATGCAGTTACATAAATTCGGACTTATCTGGTGAGCTGTGAGGCGATCTATAGCACTGATAATAAGCTGTATGAGAGCCATATTGACCTACCCTACCTGTTATCTCATGAGTGATACGCAGGTACCGCCTACTCGTTTTCCACCAACAAGGCCTCGTGGACATACGAATAAGAGAAAGACAGACTCAAGTCACTTCACGGCAGTGAGCAGTGATGTATGCAGTAGTACTGAGTGATGACCTGAGTGATCACCCGATGCCAGCCAGTAGAGGTAGTATAAATATTTATTTAACGCAGATCCATCGGTAAGACCACTAAGTAACAGTAGTTGCGGCCGTCTGACAGCCCAATACGAACATAAATATAAATAATCACATATCAGATTAAGTACGAAGCATAATAGCAGAGAAATGCAAATTATCGCAGTGTCCGGCAGGCTGGCCCAAGTGTGAGTAATACACATCTACATCTTTGATGGCCTTGCTTTCTTTGAAGGCAAAGCTGAGAACATTCCGGCAATTTCTTTCTTGTGATCGTCGGTCAGCACGATTCCGAACACATCCGCCAACACCTCGATCCTCTCCTCTTCAGACTCCAAAAAGCTCTTCTCCAGCACCTTTCCACCGTGGAACCGTATAAGCATATTATGCCATAGCATAACCCAACCCGCAGGGACCCCTTCCTCCAGCACGTACTGGAAAGCAGTCACACGGAACCGAAACCATACGCGTTTGTTTGTACCAACTGCCCGGGCACCGGCCTCGTAATCCGTGTCTAACCATTCGCACTCCTTAAATGCATATACGTCCATCCACGGCGCCGCCGTTGATTTCATGCTTTGGAACTGCAGTCGCCAGTATTTCAGATGCTGCGCCCGGCCTTTGTTGATATTGTCGTAGATCAGGCGTCCCCGACGGCCCAAGCGCCCATCCACAAATTCATGCCCATCACGCAGGGCAATCGGCTGGACAGGGCAGTTCGGACCGAAGCCCCCATCCACAAGGTAATCTTGTCCGTCAACGCAAACAATAAGCACCATGTGTTGCCAGTCACCGAACTGTGCACCCACTGGTCGGTTAGGATCGCCGGTGGTTGCAAGAGAGATACTAGCTGCTGCGTTCAGACGCGCTCCACTATTGTAGAGCGTGTATCCGATGGAAAGCAGGACTTCGCTTAGGATCCTGACTACCTGGAAGCAGGTGCCACCTTGACGACGAAGCACAATCTTTTCGTATAGACCTTGAGGTTTGAGCTCAAAATACTGCTGGGGGGTGTAGTGCAGCACTGTATTCTCAAAGGGAACCCCTGCAACATGATGACGCACAAGGCTGGTCAGAACCTCTAGGTCTTTATTCCCAGCGCTCAAGCGAGCGCGAGTGTCATGAGGAACTTTGATGCGTTCGAAGTATTGTTCTAGTTGGGCCGGGGTATATGACATTTTGGAGGAATAGGTTTGCAGGCTTTGAGATAGAAGGGGTTGGTGTCTACCTAGGTGTGTTCGACGACCTGGGTTATATAGAATGAGTCGGTCTCATGGACATTGACAAGATGTCCTCTAAGATCGACACTAATAACGAGGTAAGGCGGACGCTACTTGATTGTAGCATGTGAAAATTCCATAATAAATGATTGGTATAGAGCTGCATCTCTTGCAAGTCTAACGAACAACTACCAAATCTTATCCTGCCAACTCATCGAAGATCTAGTATCAACTACAGGGGTTACGCTCATTAGCAAGTGGAAGAGGAAAGGGAGAAGCAAAAGGAAAATAACATCGATTATTAGAATGGGATGGAGGGAATTTCCTAAACTTCAGTTTCTTTTTCTTCAAGGTTATTGACACGATGTGGTTTTCCTTTTCCTCTATGAAATTGCCACTTCCTGTGATCCGCACGGAGTATCTGAGACGGTACTTAGTATAGTATCGACGGACTGATCCATTTTGACGGACAGGGGAGTTTTGGTTTATATGACATGGAACTAGTGGGGATAGTGCGGTCAGATAATAAAGGAGTCCATAGTTACAATAAACTACATCATAGTATATGATTCAGCTGCGTGATCGTCGGGCCCTAGCATCCTGTGGTGTAACCGGTGAGCTGAAATATATTTCCGGCAGAATTAGACTCACCGAGCCGCGGAGGAGTGCGTTTATCCGCGTCCATCAACGGAGTAAAGTAAGCCCGTTAATCCTGTTCGCGCACCATGGTATTTTCCTAGATCCTTATAATTGTTAGTCCGTAGCCGGCTTATAGTGAAGATCTCTTACCGGTCCTCATTGAAGTTAAGTGTTTTACCAAATGCAACAAGATGCGCAATGCCGATTGAACCTCCATCGGCTGATTCCAGTCACCTTGCATGATCGTGCCTAACGTAACCAAGGGCTAGTAAGTCAACGTATACATACTGCATGAACTTCCTACGATCATACGTACTCAGTGAGCTACTCAAGATTAACATCTCCTTTGATTGCGTCAGTGAGGTGTAAACAGCTTCGGTCACCGTAAATAGATACTCCGACACGCATGTCGTTGTCCAGCTGTGGTGGCTAGATGCCCTATTTAAGCATGATAATGGCAGGGAAGCCAATATGACCGCCATTTTCCAAATTCAATGACAGCATAATGGCCCCTACCGTCTTGATCACAGGTGCAACAGGCTTCATTGGGTCTCGCGTTGCCCTTGAGGTTTTGCAGGCCGGATACCGCGCACGCCTCTCTATCCGACGCCCCGAACAGGCTGAGAAGTTGCGCCGCATATTCAGCAGCCATCTCAGTAATATTGACTTCATCGTTGTGAGCGACATTACGGTCACTGGGTGTTTTGATGAGGCAATCCAGGACGTGCAATATGTTGTACATGTTGCATCACCACTTCCAGATCGAAACAGCGACCTTTTGATTCCTGCAATGCAGGGAACAACATCCATATTGGAGTCTGCTTGCAAAAATTCATCTATCAAGAAGGTTGTTGTCACATCTTCAATATCATCATTTATGCCCCTGGCTGGTCAACCGCACGGGACAGTGATTACCGGTGAGAAAGTCCCGCGTTGGCTCCAAATGCCGGACATCTGCTGACCTTCCATAGAGGATACTGGAGTTCCCTATGATGCGAAGCAGGGCATCTCGTCTTTGCTTGACCCCATGGTACAGTACCGCGCGAGTAAGGTAGCCTCCTATCAAGCGATCATCGACTTTGTACAAGAGCACAACCCACCGTTTGATGTGACAACATTTCATCCATCTTGGGTTTATGGTCAAAATCCGGTGCAAGAACCACATGACAATCTGAGTGGAAGTTGCGGAGCCCTGGTACTCACTCTTCTGTCGTCAGAAAAGCCCATCAATGGTCAGTTTTTGGGGGTTCATGTTGATGATGTCGCTGCGGCACACGTCAAGGCATTGGGTAGTTCCACACGAGGCTTCCAGTCCTTCTTACTCTCTGCTCCACGCCGGTCATGGAAGGAGGTGAACGAGTTCGTCCGACAACAATACCCCTCCGTCGCCTGGAAGTTGATTCCAGAGGACTGGATGAACTACGCGGTGGACTCGAGTAGAGCTGAGAAAGAGCTCGGTCTCAAATTCAAGTCAATGGAGTATCAAGTGAGAGACACCGTTGATCAGCAGTTGGAGTTTGGGAAGTTGCCGGTTCAGTCTGTTCTGTAATTATAAAGCAAATCGTATGAGACAGTAATATCATATAAAATGCAATTTTTAAGAACTATATATGCTGTGGACTGAAGAACTAGTCTCTTTCGCTACTTCGGATACAGATAGGCACCACCAAGCACTGCCTTGGAGTCCCCATCCCTCCTTCGAAAGCAAGGCGAGACGCCCTTTTGCTGAATAGTAAGGAGATCCGTGTGACCGGGAGTTGCTCAGTGGCAATACCGTGCATACCGTGGTTCTTGACCTTGTATTGTTTCAGGTTCTGGTTGAAATAGTCTCTTCCCTACTCTTGGTAATTGACAATGCGCCGTCGCAAAATAATGGAGATAGCGGAATTAGGAGGCCACCCTGCTGTTTTTAGATATCGGTGAGACGAGGAATTTGGATAGACCTGCAATCCACTCCGTTATTTTGTCTTATATGGGATATCTCTCTCGTAGCTAGTCGTTCTATCTGCGACACTCCGCCGCCACACGGGCAAGGACTGTGCTGTAAGACGTGTCCTCGTACACAGGCATTACGGTACAGCTGAACGTCACTATTTGTAGCGATTCGAGAATGAGGCAATTTTTCCCTACAGCAAATTTTCAGTAATGCCAGAATGGATATAAGTTCGCCAACGGAAGTATGGTGAAGTTCAGTCAAAATCAATAACTTCCTTAGACTTATTTGGTTAGAAGCGTCGATCCGGGACGGAGATGCAGCAGCGAGGCAGGCCATTATTGACAATATATCATGTATGTGCCTACCGTACATGACACACCAAAAGCTTCCATCGGTTCTGCGCCTCTTCATGGCGTCCCATGAAGACACAGTCGAGTTACAGAGGTGGGAGATACGAACGTCATACATGATTGCTTTTCAGACGCCCTGGATTTCGGACTGTATGGCTTTAAGGGACGGGCTAGTTGGCGCTTGATCGAATGACCAATTTTTGGGCATATCTTTGCCGAGATACAAACGTGCAGGGCACCAGCATCATACCATAAGTAGATACCGGGAGACTGGCTTCGGCTACTTCAATTATTCTTCTTGTTCTAATTAGTTTGTCCGATGCCGATTCCGAAACAAGGGTCCGATTACAACTGAAGGACCCCGGGGGGTATCAACATCTACATATTTTAACAAGGAGACGCATGCCTATCTTCAAGCGAGACAAAGAAACAGCACAACCGAAAGAAAGAATTGAAGCAAGTCAGCAACGATGTCCAGCGGAGTCCTGAGCCGACCCGGTGTATCCATTTACTACGAAATCCGCGGCTCCGGTCCACCGCTTCTCATCATCCCAGCGGCCCATGGAACGCACCTGACCCATGAAGACCTCGCCTTGCGGCTATCGTCCCAATACACTATTATTGGCTTCGATCGGCGAGGCTCCCTCCGCAGTCGCTTCCTCTCTCCACCGACGCATGAACAGCAACGAACCCTGCTGAAAGACACCGTCGACGACATAGTCGCTCTCATACAGCACCTCTCACCTGACCAGCCAGTCCTCATCTACAGCATTTCACTCGGTTGCATGCATGCCCTTGAACTGCTCAGCACTCATCCAGACTTGGTCCGAGAGATAATTGTCCATGACCCGTGCATACCATGTCTCCTACCAAAGCAGAGCTATGAGCAGGTCTCTGCAGCATTCCAGTCCACAGTTTCGATATACAAGGCCCATGGTCCAGCTGCCGCCTCGGAGACGTTTGTCCCGGTCGTAACGAGCGATGAAGACCGTGCGCTGCTTCGTGACTCTCCCACTCATAAGAAGCTCCTTGCGTTGTCGATTCTCTGTTTTAACTTCCTCTTTGAATATGAGTTACCTGTACTGCTAGGATATCAAGTACCCTTTCCCGTGTTGAAGGCCTATCGTGAAAAGATTACTCTCATCAGGGGTGAATTGTCCTCAACTCCGTTGACCACTGAACCGATTACCACCCTAGGTGCCGAATTACGCTTACCAGTTAAGACGGTGGCCGGTGGGCATCTGCCATCTGCTACTCATCCCGAGGCCTTCACAGAAGAGTTGTTGAGCATTCTGGGGGAAGCATTGTGAGGCTTCCTTGAATATCTTCTCCGTTGCCTTCCCGGAGCAGAACACCCGATTATCTTCTTGTCCAGGCCGGTCCCAGGCATGAGTGCCGTATATAGCAGACTTAATCCCAATATAGTTGTCGGACATACCAATATTAAAGCCACGGGTTGGATTAGAGATAGAGATGTCGTATCAGCGGGACCAAACACCACTCTGTCGCCAAAGGTATGAATTCATCAACACCTTTTGTTCGCCGATTGAATGAGGTATGGAAAGTCCTGTCATACAACAGAGATACACAGTAAGGTATATTACCAGCGACACCCTTTCCAAAGTCTGACAATAAAGTCTCGCTTCGTCAAGCTTGGATGATTACATATCAAGCGGACTTTGTTTGCAGTTTCTTGGGTTTTCGGATGGTCGGGACCCAAGGTCTCCTCATAGCTGGCAAGAGCGCGCAAGTAAAGCTCTTTTGCCCTGTGGGCCTTGTGCTGATCCCGATACAAATCTCCCAAGTTAGACACCGTGTCCAGTGTAAGGATATGATTAGGACCAAGTTCTTTTTCATACCCATTTAGGCATTCTTTGAACATTTTCTCCGCTTCTTTCAGTTGGCCCCGGTCTTGGTGGACGACACCTAGATTGTTCAAAGCACCGAGTGCCGCAGTATGCGTTGGGCTGTGTTTCCGCCATTCGGCCAAGACCAACTTGTAGGTCTCTTCTGCTTCCCGGAGTCTGCCCTGTTCTCTGTATACGTTTGCTAGGTTGTTCAGGATAGCAAGCACCGGTCCACTGCGCTTCCCATTAATCTGCTCTTTAGCGGACAGAACGCGTTGAAACATTGATTCTGCCTTATCGAGCTTCCCTCTCTGGCAACAGAAAACAGCCAGGGTTTGGGCTAATTCAAGTGTATAGGTGTGGTCATGACCAAAGGTGCAGTCAAAGCCATTGAGTGCTCGTTCTTGCATCTGCTCCGCTTCCTGCAGCCTGCCTTGCATATAATAGAGATTTCCAATATGGTGGATAGTATGAAGAGTTGAGAAGTGACAAGCGCCTAGAACCTTCTCTCGTCCCAACAAAACGCGTTGGTACATTTCCTCGGCCGCTTTCAATTTACCCTGAGAGCGATAAAGGGTGCCTAGTTGGAATTGCGTGTCGAATACAGACGCGTGGTCTTTCCCAAATACTGTAATCCTTCCAGAAAGGGCTCGCTCACACATTTCTTCAGCTTCCTGCCCTCGGCCTTGCTCAAAATAGACAACACCTATGTTATGGATTGTGTCTAGCGTCGACGTATGATATTCACCAAAAGATTTCTGTTTGCCCCTCAAGGCTTCGTCGTACAGCTCTTCTGCTGCGGGTAACCGGTATTGAGAAAAGTAGATGTTTGCAAGGTTATGCATTGCATTTAAGACCAATGGACTGCTTGCTGTCGATAAACTTTGGTATCCCGTCAGTGCCTTGTAGCACAGCCTTTCGGCCTCGTCCAGTCTCCCCTGAGCATGGTAGATATTTGCAAGACTCTGAAGGGTATCCAGCGCCTCCGGTTGAGAATCATCAATTTCAGTGTTTTTATATCCGGAAAGCGCCCGCTCAAACATCAGCTCGGCTGATCTCAAGTCTCCCCGGTCGTGGTACAGCAAGCCCATGTTGTGGACGGTCTGGAGCGTGACTCTGTGATCAGGGCCGAACGCCATCTCTCTCCCAGCAAGTGCCATTTGGTACATCTGCTCTGCTCGTTCGTGCCTTCCATACGTCCAATACAGACGCCCAATTGCATGAAGTGCCGAAAGGACCTCAGAATCTCGACTCTCTCTCGGTTTCCCTCGCATCAATGGCATGAGTCTGTTTGCGTGATACAGAAGACGCTGTTGCAACGACCAGTCGTTCGTGTCTAGCGCAAATTGGGCGTTCGAGCCCACTGTGACTGCGAGAATGGTAAAGGTCTCTCTGCCAAGCTCACTGAGGTTTGAATCGATAGACGGAAGCTCATTCTCACACCAATCTTGTATGACAGGGTGTAAGCAATAACTCCCGTTGCGCGAAGACTGTTGTACCAGGGAGAAGTCCAACAATATCTGCATCAGCTTTGAGAATTGGATCTCGTTTGACAAAACTTCTGAAAGCCCTGGTGGTAGAATGCGGGATTGCATGGCGCTGTGGAGTAGCTCGTACCATATATCCTCGTGGTGAAAGAGCGAAAGAACAAAGAAGGTCTGTGCCGCCAGTGGAGAGGTTTGCTTAACTGCCTCATAAGAAACTCTCCACGCCGTCTGCAAATTTCCGTTTGGGTACCCTCGAAGAGGTTGAGCGGCTGCCTGAAGGCTGCACCATTGGCTTTGGTAGTATTCCAAGTATTTGGAGCAGCTCATACCTGTCCGGTGAATATAGGATCCTGCAAGTGCCAGTGCTAAAGGTAATCCGTGCAAACGCTTAGCTAGTGCTTCCGAGCTTGGGTCGTCTTGGCATATGCCGTATGTGCTGTCACTAAGGCGTGGCTCGCCAGTGAGTAGTTGCAAGGCATCCTCAAAGGGAAGCGGCGTGAGTGGGTGAGCGATCATGCCCTCAGCAAGTTGCGGTGATCGAGTTGTGATGATGATCGAGCCATGATCTGCAGTCGGCAGCCAGCTTTTAATGTCAGCAGCTTCTACATCATCGTAGATGAGAAGCCACCCAGCGTTATTTTTCTTCGACAGCCACTCTAGAGCTCTTTTGGCACATAAAGGTGGCCCTTCTTGCATCGAATGGTGGTGCGTACTGTCGGTTGCAGCCATATCTCTGACGCGGACAACGAGGTCTGCAAATGACGCATTCAAGGTAGTCTCATCCTTGCCATGCAGCCAGAAAATTGATGTGAAGTCCTCTTTGTGCATGCGAGCGAAGTGGGCTGCTAGTTGTGTTTTGCCCAGCCCACCCATTCCATGTATCACGACACCTTTGCGCGCCGTCCCTTTATTCGGTCGCAGGATCTCCCATAGCTTGCGGAGGTTTACATCCCGACCGACAAAATTGCTAATCGTGGGTACGTCAGTCAGTTGAAATGGTATGTGGTAATTTTCTAGCCTCTAACTATCAGCGGTCAGATGCTTTATCAGGAGCAAGTTACGTCACTCACCCTGCGAAGTTTCTATCGAAGCGGCCATATTATGCTGCGAAACTGGCATTACGGAAAGTAGTTCCTTCGCATACGCTGCAGCCGTAGCGGCAGCATACCCATGCCATGCGGCATTCTTGTGTGAATCAGCATAGTCACATATGCCACGGATCACCAAACATGGAAGATGGTTAATCAAACCGGCTGCTTCCATCTCAACACAGTACGCCCCAAGCTCCTGCCCTAGCTTGTCACGTACGTGACTGTCTTTGATCACTTGGTTCCCTGATGCAATCAATCCATAATGAACCACTGGCAAGCCATCGCATCGGACAGGCCGTGAAGCCGTCCTTGACTTATCGCAATTTGCACATCCATCGGACCGGATGCCAGCATGAGGGTAATCTGCAAGATACAGATGGTCTTCCGTCACCGGCCTCGAGAAGACCAAGGCTCCCTGTTCAGTCGTTCTCCTTTCGAATTCAGACAGAAAAGAGACAAATTGGCGGTCATGTGACAAATGGTTTGCTTCTACTTTAGAGATCGCGTGCAAGAGGGATCTGGGCGGGTTATTCAACATGCCTGTCCGCTGAAAGCCAGCGGCTGTTGCTTTGCCAAAGTCATATTGTACGACACCTCCGTTCTTGTCAGTAGGTCTTGCAACGACTACGTCGCCAAGGCGGACATCCGCATTCTTAGTTGGTATGCCTCCGCCAATACCGACTAGGAGGGCGAATTGGATGGAATGAAAAGTTGACAAAAGTTGGGTCGCGACAACAGCTGCAGAGATCGTCCCGCATACACCGCTCGGTAAACAGGTGAGGACAATTCTATGGCCACATATGCACCCTAGTGTGTAAACATTCGCGTCATTCGGTCCGGCTGGAAGCTGATCGTGGGTCTCATCCAGAAGGGCTTGGGCAGCCGCCAGCTCCACTGGGAGTGCGCATATCCATGCCACGGTATAATCATTGTGAGAAGGTTTCGACCCGGATGCCATTATGAGCGTCGGGGTGGTGATGCTAAGCTTGTTTTCTTATTGAGGAGATTCATACGTCCCGTTGCTGAGATCATGTGTGTCGCAGCTGGAGCATCGGCCCATCTTCCTGCCTGACTGCTACCCAATCGCAGCTGTGACGGGGGGCATAGCCACAAGAACCTGTGGTTTGATACTAGTAAGAGCAGTAGCCATGCCCCACCAGTTTATCAATGTCCTCCCGCATGGGACCATTTCTCATTTTGTCCTCTTGACAGCTCTACGCGATCCTGCTGGCTCACACTTCTTCACATGGCCTCCGTACACTATGATACCACTATTGATTACCTCCCAGACAACGACGAGGTGATGGATCATCACAGCGCACCAGAGCAGCTGGGGCCCGATGCAACGCTCTGGCATCCGACCTTGAGATCGGTAGGTGATATGATTCCACTCGTACGCTGTACACGGCCCTCCATACGACACCTTTCTTTGGCCAGCTCAGCTCTGAGGTCGACCGAGCAGGTTGTCGGCGTTCATGATCATGTCGTACCGTACCTTACATTGCCGACTTTATATTTTTGTGTTAGTTAACCCCCTTGTATATCATGTTCAATATTGAAAGGTGCTCATCGATTCCGCAGTGCCAGTGTGGTGACGGCCCGAAGCTTTGGGATCGCCAGCCAAGGTGTGTGATCTGTCAACACAGTATATGCGGTTATTGCAAGCCGGCCAATTGATAATAGTTTCCTGTATGGGCAACATGGTTCGTTGGTAAGGGTTTCCGTTTTTTCGTTCTTCTTCCAACTGTGTATGCCTACTTGGGATCTCCCCATATATGTCAAGCCCGCGGCATTACCAACCTGGTCTCAGGGTCAGGCCTCGCAAGTACCTTAGTCGGTTTCGATAGATGCGTTCAATAGTTCTCATTCAGAAGTGTCATCTAACTGACGTTGAGGATGTTAAATCATTAGACACAATCATTATATATTAGTTGGAGGGCTTGGCTGCCGTAGGCATTCGCGTGATGTTCAAGTATGAGCCTGATAAGTCGCTCTTGGGTGGGTGTGTGGGTCATTAGTATGCCTAGTACTTCGTAGGAGTCCTCTGCTCTTTCAGTTGGTACTACTCGTCGCAGATTCGTCTTCTCGTGTCGGGCTTGTTGTGGCGGCATGACTACTCAGCTGCTGTTTTGATTCCGAGAACTATCAGGGAAGCTTCCGAGGGAAGTCAAGCAATGCATGTCTCTTTTTCTCACGCCTTTCACTCCGAGTTGCACCCTTTATGGTTTGAAGTTTCGGTAGATCTAGCCAACATTACTCTATGTACTGTACACGAGCTGCTCAGAAGCAGTGTATTAGTATTATCTTTACGGTTCTTTCTTGGCCGGTCCAAAAAAGTACAGGTTCAGCGGGTGTGAGCTCGGGGACAGACACGAACTCTTAGGAGTAACGGAAATACATGCAACCACCCACATTCCGTTTGCCAGTCTCCCTTTCTGTCTTCCCTTTCCACCAAACCCTAACAAGTATTTGTATGCGCGCTCCATGCACAATCACGTGTCCAACTCATGAAGCGGTACATGGCCAGATAGCTCCTTCGCGCCCATATTCCTCGTTCGGTAGGACGTTGATGAGGCCGCCGGCATCTGGTATACGTTTGACGGGGTATTCTGGAGTTGAAGCCGCTTTCTCCTCTCGTTCAAACCATATCCCAGCGATGCCAACGCCAGCAGCCCAAGGGGGACGCCGACCCCGGCCCCAACGGCGGTCACGGTCGCGCGGCTGACTTGATTGCCATTAGCCGCGGTCGGGCTGCTGCAGCTTTCATCGGCTGTGGAGGAAGACGAGGTATTGGGCTCGGTGGTAGAGGTCGCGGTCGCGGTGCTGGTGGCGGTGCTAGCAGTGGGGAGGAGGGAGTAGCTGGCCAGATATGCCTTGCCAGCAATGGGCTTGCCAGTGCCCACTGAAACGGGCGAGACACCATTGGCGCATCCAATGGAGTTGGTCCCGTTGGAAATAATCGAGTTGGGGCAATATAGCTTGACTCCGTTCACGTCACTGTAGAGGATGAGGGAGCACGCGCTGCTCCACGCAGTGGTGACTGTAATTTTGCGAGTATCTGGTCAGTCGCAAAGAAGAACAGTAGACTAGGTTGAAGCCAAACTATCAGGGTGAGTGAGGTATCTCACGTACTTCCATGACAGACATCGTCGCAGACCGAGGTATCGTTCCAACTTTGGGAGGTACAGGCGCCGCGGCCGAGAACATACGGTTGATGCATGGAGGTGCAGAGGCCATTGCTCAAGCAAATCGAGTTCTTATTGCAGCAGAACGAGACGCCATTGTCGGAGCAAGGCGTGTAATCCTCGGCCACGTTGCCCTCAGGGAAGTAGCAGGTGGTGCCGGACACCAGTCGTTCCAGAAGGACGATCAGCAGCAAATGGTAGAGCCACATGCTGACGAACACCCCCAGCTTTTCCTCTCTTTACCCGGATGGGAACTGATTTCAGGTCGGCGGCGGCGGCGGCGGCAGCAGCAGCTGTGCCATCTCACATTTCAGCGACAGAAATAAGAGGGAGATTGGCGGGACGCAGGGAGTTTTCATCTGGGGAAATGACCGTCGCTGGGCAGCGCGCCAGCCATGCCCACACGAAAGCCGATTGAATGGGGGCCGTGCCGAGGCTGGTGGGGGCCAAGATCCCTTTTGATCTTTTGAAGAGCAAGTGAGGAATTTTTCAACCCTGGACTGGGCAGGCTTTCACGGACACGCGCGAGCACGCCATCCCAGATAGGCATGAGGGAGAACCTGGCGAGTTCATCCTGAAGAAGCCTGGTGAGGCAGCCGGTTGGCGGCGGGCGGGGCGGCCCAGGAATGTCAGCGTGTCGAATGAACCAATCCCTTGCACCCTCGGATGCTGTAACTACTGTTGAGTCTCTGACACATTCGAGGGGGACAGTGGGTTTGAGGGGGGGGCCGTGCGAAGAGGTAAGATGAAGCCGAGCCACTAGATACAGACTAACACCCGACGATCCTTCAGGGGCTCCAGTGCTCGGATTCTTCCCGTCGGAACGGGAAAGGGTCCGTTGACTGCTAGAGAGATGTCTAGATCACATGAGTATATATATATGGGTGTAAAAGAATTGCGGTTGGGGTACTACGCGAGGATACTAGATTAAAAGACGAATGTCTCTCTTGATGCAATTGATTGAAAGATGAGGAGGTGGTTAACTCGTTGATTTGTTGGGGTTAGTTGAGGGGGCTGACGTGAGATTTCTGCCTTGGCAGCCTTATAGTATCACGTGATAGAGAGCTGGGTAATGACGTTATGTAAGCACTGCCATAGGTATAGTAATGTGGTGAAATTTCTCAGGTTTATCATTGGATGGGGGGAACAGCATATATCCTCAGGTTGTGGCTTAGGGAGGTTACTCAAATTGGTGGCACACAATTCCCTGGTTTATCATTGACTCTCACACCAGTACTACTGATAACTAAAGTTCCTAGCACGCTGTCACTTCGTTGAGCAGTGGAATGGGCCCAGTATATATCTCTCCACACCTGGTAAACATACTACGATTCAGTTGTTGCTAAGTAGACCAATTGTCAAGTACTAACTGCCGGAGACCATGACAATCCGACTATACGAGCGCTTGCTGCTAGCGGAAAGACCACAATGACCACATACTTACTACTAATATTACACAGAAGAGGGTGGTGGCTGTGGTGATTTTGGTGGACATCTCAATTTGTGCTTTATGTGACAGGACTACCTTCTCTTTTGACGCAGTGATGTGACCTGGCGGAATGAAAGACGCGACGCATGAGGACTGTCTTTGGTTGGTTTGGTTGTCTGTGGTACAGGAGCAGTAGGTATTACTTATTGTTATCAACACTATCACCACCATCATCCGAGTATGATGCTTTAAGCATGCCCGTAATCACATTAGTAGTACAATGTTGTAACACATGTTTTTTGGTATAACCCCTCAGAAAACTTCCTCTACATATCTTTCGCCCATGATCTGCTTCACATTTCCTACCAAAATCTCGCTGAGGTTAGCTTGCACCCCTTCAGCCATAGCGGCACTCCCACAGACATAGACATATCCTTCCTGTTCCACTAATTTCGTCCGAATTTCGTTACATTTGTCCAGTAAAAAACACTGAACACGCTTCTTTTCGCGGTTACTAGGAACAAGACAGGCCAGATCTAACACACGATGCCTCTGCGCCAGGTGGACTACCGCGTGAAAGAGGTTCTCATCCGCAGGCCGAAACCCCGCGAATAGACTGATAGGAGCGGTATGGAATGGGTGTGTCGTGCTGCTATGTCTTCCCCATTCTCGTGCAGTCTGAATCCGCTGCTGAAGTAGACTGCGGACTGGTGCAAATCCAGAGCCAGTGGTGATGTTAACAAGCGGCTTTTGAACAGCGAGAAGAAAAGATGCAGGGGAGGCAGGGACGACGGCATATACCACTGATCCACCAGGCTGAAGGGAGGAGAGGTAGATGTCGCTGAATCGGCCTTGCTGTTGTGGCTTAATCAAGAGCTCTACCTTCTTCTCGCCGATAAACCGCGAGGATGATGCCACGGAATAGGCTCGGGGCTTGATAAGTGGGCAAGCAAGACAGGTTTTATGACGGAAGCCTTGAGCCAACTGCGACGGCTCTATAATGTCCGATAATTTCTCCAGTCTTTCAAGGATACTTTCGTTCTCGCGCTCGCCGTTCTTGTCAACCTCGGCTGCCCAGCTTGGAACTTTATTTTTTTCCTCCAGGTCAACGAAGTTGGTGAAGAAGGCCTTGTAGCTGCACTGCTGGAGCCCTTCGCCAGAGAACGGTATAAGCAGCTGAGGATCTGTGATTTCCAGGGCTGTGATGGCTCGGGAGACATGAGATGAGGAATTCGTGGGAAGAAGCCGTTGGTGGGTCATGTCGGCACATTCGATGCCGTCAAGAGTCAATAGGACCAGTCCATCGTGCGTCCGGCTGGATGCCTTAGAGGTAACCGTAGCTTCGCTAAAATTGCGGAGCATCTCAGCGTGCGTTACGAACGCTTCTTCCGGATCACTAGTCAATTCGCCTTTCCCTCCCATTAACGCAGACTCGACCGCGTCCGACCAGCGATTGAACATGCGCAACGGCAATGCTTCGGATGCCACATAGGCCTTTATTAATCCACCAGCTATGGGCAAGATATTGAGGTGGTGGAAAAAGTCGTAGGCGGTAATTGCTGCGGCATTGAAATTGGGATAGGCACTATCCCCAACCCCAAAGACGGACAGTCGGACACGGGAGAAGTCAACCTTGAGCGTGTGGCGGAAATGCCCTAAGGCCTTCGCAAAATTAGCTCCATTGGCAGGAAATGCACCACTGCCGGTGGTCGAGGCAACTAGAAGTATGGTATCGAATGTTTCGACAAGAGCCAAATCCAAGGCGTCCAAGGTGCTAAACTTCACTCGAAAGCCTCTAGCACTGCGCTTCAGTCGCCGGTGTAGCCTTTCAGCTAGAGTCCGTGCTGTAGTACCCTGGCTGCAGTAGGATAGATGCACCGTGCAGGGTTGCTCTTTGCTGGGAGATTCTGTCAGTTTACGCCTCTTGGGGCCTAAAATTTCAGTGGCAAAGCTAGTCAGAGCCTCGGTGACCCAGGTATTCCCGTTTCTCACCAGAAGGGCTGGAACTGCCTCCGTAGAACCCTTCCGACGCTGCCAGGAGTTAACAGGATCATACCGATTCCGGCAAATCATGGGCTTCGGCTGGTAATTTGGCGCACCACCACGATGCCACACGGGTATGATTGATCCCTGCGGCGGTGACAGCCAATAGTGATCTGAATTCAGTCGGTAGCCCTTCTTCGCGGCATGTTCATCGTCGAACTGACTTCAGTCCGAGGATGCAGCCAATGTTCCCACACAAGTAACGCCATGCTGGAGGAAGGACCAACGCACGGCGTAATTCAGCTCGGCTTGGGCGCGGCTCCGCCACCGCAGCTGCTCATAGTCTGGAAGATCCTCCAGCTCTCGTATGTCTGCGTACTCAGGCTTGGCACGATAGGCGTTGATGTCAAACCCAATGGCTTTGACCACCTCGGGCAGGGCGTCAAAACGGAACATGTCGGCAAGGTTCCTCACCCCGATCTCCGCATCCATGTACCTTGTCAGGATCAGCAAGAGTCATCACCGACCATGAAGAGAATGATAGTACCATCCAATAAACGGTGTTGCTGTGTACTGAACTCCGCCTATATCAAAGCCCAGTCGACTTAGGGCTGGGAATTGGTACCACCTGAGGCCGAGTTCATTGAAGCCGGGGTAGTCTGGATGTCGAATGGCAATCAGCCGACAGAGGTCATCCGGCACCTCGACAAGAGCCGGTGCGTCGCTCTCCGCCATGGCAACAATTGGTAGGAGATCCCATGGGGTCTTGGGCCGTGGTGGTGCCCAGCCCAAGTCAATGATGTCTTGGGTTAACTTGACGTTACTGGGGTCACCTACAATAGAGCCGTCCTCTAGCTCGTACTGCGGGTTGCGAATCCAGCTTACATTAGCATCAAAGTCAATAGGGGAGGCAACTAGAGCGGATAACGTACACCAGCGAAGTTCAGCACTTGCTTGTTCCAAAACCTTGGGCCACTGCCATTCACAGACTTCGGCGGAAACACAAACACTTGCGAAGATGGTCAGATCAGAATAGATGCGGTGACAATTCTACTGGAATGTCCTACCCGTCGGCTCAATCTGACCATCGTTGAAGGCCTTAGTGACTTCCTCGAGAAGTGCTGTGGCCATACCGACGCTAGTGTGAATATGTCGCAGATCACAGAGGCCCAGACCTTGATACCGCGAGCGCATGATACACCTGCGCGAATTCTTCCAGGCCAGACGCAGCCCATAGCGAAGTTCTTCGGCGCTTTGTGTCCAGATCGAAGTCTTGCCCACTCGCTTGCATTCCTGATCCCACACAATTGTGGTTTTAGTTGATCGAGCGATCTCCTCCAGTACTTGTGCGCGTCTTTCTAGGTAACGGTCTTCGGTGTAGATGCCTTCCTGCCACAACTGCCAGAGAAATGCCACCGCTTCATTCTTCACCACTTCGAGCGGACGATTCTCCCCGACCTTTGGCTCAGCGCTGTGGATGAGACGTCCAGCTTGGCAAAACTTTTCCGTACAGCCAGTGGGCGCCAAAATGGGATTCTTCTCGAGAATCCGTTCAAATTCGTCGAAGGGGCACCGTATGGACGGTGTTGCACCACTGTCATGACCGATCTCTGTACCAGGCATGTTCTCCCAGGCAAGACAACTGAAGCATAAACCGAAACCTTGGTCACAAAACTTGAGGGCTAAAGGTTTGGCACGTCTTAGTGCACAGGAAGATGGACCTCTTATAGAAACAGGGAAGATCTGAGCTGCTAGTGGCTAAACATGGGCATCAGATGTTCGAAGCGGACCGAGCAGTTACTCGTGTAGCCAGCATGTGCCACAGCTGGCTCAAGATCCACAATCATGATAATAATCTTTAATTATTGGCAGGTGAGGCTTGGTCTAAGCTTTGCCTAGGGGAAGCGTCGACATGTCGGCGGTAGATCCACGATTCTATTGAAGGGCCAGTGGCGGGCGTAGTCCCAGTCTTGATATTAAGATCAATATTTCTGCAGCCCCTTGTTGGCCAATGACTTCAAATTCCAGAGACATCGGTCTTGGAGCATATTTTCTTGCTCCTCACCTGGTCAAACATGCTTTGTTCATTTGACACTGAATGTAGGACAGCCAAAATCAAAGCACATCGCCATGCGAGCAGGAGTGACTGTATCTCAAGGTCTGAGCTCTGGGCCCCGTTTCGGAGACATCGCTTGTATGGAGCTAGTCGATTCTGCCTGGTTACTGGATCTCCATCAAGCTAAGTGTCTTGCTGCTAGTCTAGGTACCCCCCATAAGGAGGCCCATAATGGCCCGATCACAGAGATAAGCAGGGCAAGAAGGTTAAATCATTATCCACCCACTAGGCGAGAAGAGATTAGCAATAGCACATCCATAATATCGGTGGGTGCGCGTCTTGATGTCCTCGGTTTATTATTGACGATAATTCTGTTATATCTCAAAACAGCAGCTGGTTGTCGTGTTACCTATTCGGGGCTAGTGCCATTTCCTTGCCTCTACTTCTCTGATTACTAACATTAATGCCTGGATGCATGGATATGGCGCCTCACTGTCTTTCCCCATGGTCGAAAGCTTCATTCTTCCTGGCTTGTCTTTGTGGGCCTCCATCATGCAATCGCACCCTTAAAAGAGCTTCTTTCTTAATTGGACACAGGCCCTTCTCCTACTAACTTCTCCGGAGCTCCGCCGGCGAGAACTGCGATCCGTCCGCAGCCTGTCGGACCAACTGGGTCATAGCCAGCTCCACCAACAGCTCCCCCGATCCAACCCCCACTTCCCGTTGGAACCACATCTTCAAGTCCACTATTACCAGGGAATCCACCTCGTACGAGCCCAGCGACCGCTGCGGATCAATCTCCTGAACGGAAAGTGCCATAATACGCGCCAGTTCATCGACGATCGCTCGCGTCACGACGTCTACCGCCGCCTCGACCTCTTGTTCGACCATTTGGGACCTGCCTGCAATGGCCCGACGCGGAGAGAATAACGAATGGGCCATGAACCCGGGCAGAAGGATGGACTGGCGTTGAAAGTCCCGGGCGGATCGTATTCCGACCACCGTGTGGCCGGTCTGGGTACTCTGCGCCGCCCCCCAGGCAGGGGTTATACGATATTCCAGGAAAGAGAATAGAAGGTCTTCCCAAAGGGCCCTGTAGGCGAGCGCGATGGAGTCTAAGTTGGTTCTCCACAATCCAACCCACACTGAACACGCCTCCTAGACTGATCGAGGTGGCCGGGTAGCCTCCTGTCATCAGTTGACACACAAAAGCATCCATGAAGGTGTTGGTGGCAGCATAGTTGGCCTGGCCGCGGTTGGCAATGACTCCCGCTGACGAGGAGCACATGATGAAGAAATCCAGCTAAGACCTGGTGGGGCATAGGGCAGAGACGACGCTGATGGTCCCCTGCACTTTGGATGTGATAAACTGCACGAACCAAATGTGAATCAGGTCTGACAGGATCGAGTCTTGCGTTTTATGGTAGTTGCCTCTCTTCAGCATATGCCCTTGACCCTCCACAATGCCCCTACCTCAGGAGTTATCGGGGTCTGAAGGTAGGCCCGTATGAGCGGAATGGACGCTTGACACTTCAGCATAGCACAGCGGTAATCCAGGATCCTCCATTCAGCATCAGTAGCCAGTCGACGATCTGCGGGCCACCCATTGCCATGCATCCACCTTTATAAAAGCAAGGGGAATAACGGCATTCAAAAGGCCTGCTGCAGAATCTCACCGTGCGGAGCAACTGCCGCAGCCCTCCGGTTGGACCCTAGCGCCCATCTCGCGGGTGCCTTGCCCTCAAGGGCCCCGAAGTGCGCCCATAACAACAGCTAGCTAGTATAGATACAGGGCCAGGCTACGAGTAGTATCAAGACAGTAGGTACGAACGCTAAATGCGATAGCATTACTAGGTTTAGCTGCCTAATCACCATGTTCATAACCCAGTGGGGCTCGCACATTCACCCTGCCACTTTGGTGTTTACTTCATGAATCTGCTTTTCTCTAAAGTTATCAGTCGCCGTGAGAGCCGGACCCACTCTACTTGGTCTATGTACATGGGAGGCAGAACTTCCACCACATGCGGCTTTAGTATCTGTCATGAGATCAGCAGTCAACGTTTGACGACCTATTCCAATACGGGTGCGGGTACGGCGTGCGGCATGGCAGGTCATACATTGACTACGGATCCATGACATACAAAGCGCGTTGGTGGAGGGGCTCGGGGATACGGGAAACAGTGAGAGGTTATCGCCGTCGCCGTGAATCCATTGCCGCGCAAGCAGTTGCAGAAGTGTTGAAATCGGCAGAATTGATTGGGACCCACCATCCAGGGCTATATCTGGTGTCATTGACCGTTTACCAGAGTTCACTATGACAGATGGGGTCGCTTGAGTGGGTATTCCGTAGTATCTTGCTTCATCGTTACCAGACTTTGTTGGTCGGGGTGACCGGAGTTTGCGGATATACCATTCTCGCCTACCGTGGATCTGTCTTCCTTAAATTGATGGACAAAGCACGGAATTAAAATGCTCTACAGATCAGTTAAGGCAGCAGAGAAGAAACAGCTCATCCTCTACTACCTTGCAACTGCCCCTCAGACCACCAAAAAAAATATGTCAACCCACAAAGCGGCGGTGATTCATGCCCGGGACAAGCCCCTGGTCGTGGAAAATGTGCCTCGCCCTGTGGCATCGACTGGTGATGCCATCGTCCGCATCTTGGCTGCTGATATTGTCCCCTATATGAGGGAGGTAATCACGAACCAGCGCCCATACCCGCTCTCCATCCCCATGACTCCGGGAAACACGGCCATCGCGCGCATCCATGAAGTTGGACCCGACTGTGTCACCCTCAAGCCGGGTCAACTCGTCTTCTGCGACATAACCATCCGCGCGCGCGATAACCCCGCCGTTACCATGCTGTACGGGGTTCATGGAGCAATTCATCCAGCGGCGCAGAAACTCATGGATGGAGTCTGGCGCAACGGAACATATGCTGAATACGCGCGGTTCCCTCTGGAGAACCTGTATCCGCTGGACGAGGAAGTTCTCCTGGGGCGGCTGGGATACAGCATCAGTGACCTCTGTCTTTTGACCGCATACCTGGTCCCCTTTGGCGGGCTGGCCGAGGTGGACGTGAAACCGGGCGAGGTGGTGATCGTGGCCCCAGCTACAGGGCGTTTTGGTGGCGGCGCGGTGGGCGCAGCCTTGGCCATGGGGGCCACCGTCATCGCAGCCGGTCGCAACAGGGCAGCTCTTGACAAGCTCAAACACATCCATGGTACACAACGACTTATCACAGCCCAAATCACTGGGGACGAGGCTACCGATACCCAGTCCTTCAAAACAGCGGTCGGCCAACCGGAGGGGGCCCATGTATATCTGGACCTGTCGCCCCCAACCCTTCAGGACTCATCCCTGTTAGTTGCGGGTATTCGTGCGCTGGGATCTTTCGGTCGATGTGTCCTGATGGGCGATCACTTGGGGAGTGTTCAGGTTCCTTACGGCGAGATCATGTTCAAGGGAATTCGCATTCAGGGACGGTTTATGTATGATCGTCCGCATGTGTTCCGGCTGATTCAAATGGTGCGGTCTGGGTTGCTTCCACTGGGTGGGAAGGGCGGGGTCACTTACATCGAGGAATTTGGGCTGGATGAAATTGAAGGCGCATTAGATGCGGCAGGGAGATTGAGCGGCTGGGGGGGTCAGGTTGTGTTGAAGCCGTAGACTTCCATCCTGTGCTCGGGATCTTTATGTTCTGGGGTCAACCTAATGTATCTTGATTTATTGTTCTTCTCATTTTCATCCTCAGTCTATATGGCATACTAGTATTGTGTTGTGCCTTAGTCTGTCTATTGAATCATTCATCCAGGGTCTACGCATATCCTTACGGGTTGTATACCTCAGGACGGTTCTGCTGCCCCGGGGGTAGTAGCGCTAGATTTTGTCTACTTTCCATGTATGTAGCCAACAAAACAATTTCCACTCATAAACTTGGTGCCTGGAAGTGCAGTGAAATTATCATTATGGTACAAGGTGATAAATAATTAGAAATATACAGCAGCGGGTTCCGCTGGTGACCATCAAGGTGACGATCCAGCTCTGCGCAATCCTTACAGGAAGCACATGGTCCAATTTACACGGAATTTCGCATCATTCTTCGAGCATGAAGAGATGTATTCCTGGGCTATTGAGAGCTAGACTGAGTGCCATCGCTGACATCAAACGCCCAGATAGCCTGGAAGCAATGGGTGTCGACCTGGGCTTTCTGGTTGCTGGCTTGGGCATTGTACGAGCTGTTAGCCGGGAAGAGGCCGATAATATTATAGAAGTAGGCCTGATGACATATTAGTGTGGACCTCAACGGCTCAAAAATGGAGGCAATCTCACGTCCACGGCACTTTCCAGGATGCGAACTTCCGAGGGCACTTTCTCTTTGGTGGTTGAGTCAATCGACTTCAACTCAGTTGCACTGTCGGAGAAGGCGTCCATGAGCTCAAGGAGCGATTGTACGAACTAGCGGCCAAAGGAATGAGTTTTATTTTTGGTTGCTATGGGTTAGGCTGATCATCTCACATTTGAGTACCCTTCATATACTGTCTGCTCCTCGGATTGATCAGTGATGATAGGGGTATTGGTCATGAACTCGACGTCCGTGAGAACCACGGTCACAATCGTGTCCATTTCCGTATAGACATCCTACACCTCATCAGAAAAACGCATACTTGAAGCTGTGGATCATGACCGTATCTCAGGATACCCAGGGCAAACATACACGCATTGGACCGGCATCGGCGGTGGAGTTAATCTCCAATACGAGATCCTTGGCAGCGAAACCTTGTTGCGCCAATTCATTCAAAGAGTTGGCGATCTCACTTGAAGTTAAGGAGGCAAAGGCGCAATGGGCATAGAACCAGAGAGCAATAAGAATAGAGAAAAGTGAGCGATACATGGTAGACAGTAATGAGTGACTGGAGTAAAATGCCTAAGTTGTTGATAGGGCGACGGGTGAATAAGTTAAACGAGTGAACGAGAATCGCGTTGCTCTGAAGAGAGTGGCAGAACAACGGCTCTCGAAGAAAACAAAAGACAAGACGCGTATTGCAGAAAGGACTGACAAGGAATGGGATATTTTTTTGACACGAGTCTGGAAGAGGGGGCAATCATCTCGTATTTAATTAAAAGTCATGCAGGCGGCCTGAGGGATCAGGCCCGAACAGGAATAGCCGGGATGGCTCGGACCGAACTTGTCCCGCGCTGCGCCATCACCTGATCTAAAGAAGATTGTTTGACTTGGATACGATGCTTGACACAAACATTTGATGGGATATGGCTGTCTTTCTATATGATATATATCCTATTATTCGGGTGTATGCTACCAACATTACTCAAATATATACCCAAAACCCAGTCTCCCATGTACATCGTTCGGAGAAAAAGATGTACAATTTATATATCTCCGCGGTAATTGAACCAAACATGAACACTAGACAAAAGTCCCCCAATTACTCCAAATAATGCTCACCAGATCTCTGCAACCAAGAGACTGGTCCAAAAGAGTTAGACTACAGTATATGCAACGACTATGGTTTGGAAAGCTGCTCTTTGCGGTAGAAAAAGATGCAGATGACATTGATGGAGAGCATCAACAGCAGACACACCCAAAAATCCGCTTTGCTCAACCCGGCGGTCACCCCTGCCGAGAAGTCAGGGAAAACATTGCCTGGCCCCAACTTATCAGGAGCTGTAGCTCGAGCCAGAATGGTGGCTACCGAACCAACCACCTGCGCTGCCAGGAGGGTAAAGGTGACATGGAAACGAGTCATGGTGTTTAGAAGAATCATTCCAAACCCTAGGTGAATGGTTTAATGTTAGTTGAGAAAAGCCCCGACGGATGATCAAGAGAAAGACTCACCAATACCCTGAAGACTATCCAGAACCCCAAGCCACAACCAGAGCGCCCGTCCGAGAATGGCTCCAGCAACTGGTCCACCCGCCCAAGGAATATAGGTGCCAATGTTGGAAGTGGCCCATAGAATCTGCGCCCATCGAGGGGCTCCCAGCCCAATGGCAAAAATGGGGATGAACCAGGCATGTCGCTTGGAAAGCACGTGAAATACCCAGAGCGCAGCTGCCCACACCACGACAAAGAAGAGAAGGACTAGGAGAATGATCTGCCACACCTTGGCGTGCTTGCTGGACCAGAGGTACAGCCAGTTTCGCCCATACGGTGCTGATAGCCAGTAGTTGGAGATGAACACCATGTAGAAGAACCACTAGAAGAAAGTCGGTTAGATCCCGATATCAAAGGCCGAGTATTATTAAGACCGACAGAAACATACCAGGATGACCCGACGCCGGAAGAGCGAGAGGTAGAAGGTTGGGACCCGACCAGGTGTTTGCCGATAGTATGCAGGGAGTCCGAAGAATACCAAGGCCCCCAACAGCCACAGCACACAAGCCAGGCCGATGCCGACCCCGAGCAACACGTTTGGGTCAGTTATGCTAAGACTGAATCGCGTACTGCCCTCTTGGTTGAGGCTTGCCATCCAGCTACCCCAGTACCACAGGAAACTGATGCATAGCTGCTGGCTACCCTGAATCACCGTTGCTCGG